TGGACAGGACATTGAGATACTTGGGTGATGTGTAAGTGACCTCTGGCGTATCAGGGCCTACCACACCCTCACAATGTCGTAGTCCAATGAGAGTGTTTGATAGTCAGGCAAGATAGCTGCATATCTTATGTTCAAAAGGGTAGCGGAGCACCTTGCCTTTCAATACCGTAGAGCAAAGTCACATATCTATGAGGGGAAGACTATTACCTGTCTTTTTTTTCTTCCCTGTAGGGTTCTAATACCATCATTCCACCACATCACTTGACAAGAGGTCGGCTGTAAGAGGTTTATTCATCTGCTTCTTGTCTTTGCACATCTTTCACGACGATGGCGCCCTCTGCGGTAGCCCTAGACGCACCCATTGCGACTAAATCAATCAATGGCGGAATCTCACACATGGAACCCAAAGAAATGCCGCTAGGGACTAAGAAACGCGCCGCGGTCATTGGACTGGGGATGGTTGGCGTCGCCTTCATTGAGAAGCTCCTCAAGTACGATGCTGAAGGCGGCCACAACCAATGGGAAATCACAGTCTTCGCTGAAGAGCCCCTCATCGCATATAACAGGGTCGGCTTAACACAATACTTCACAAACCGCTCCAAGGAATCACTATACCTCAACCCACTAGAGTGGTACACATCACACAGCAAGAAGCTAACATATCACCTCGCCGACCCTGTGGTTTCTCTTGATGCCGAGGCCAAGACACTACAAACCTCAAAGGGTGTTAACTTCTCCTATGATGATTGTATCATTGCCACAGGCTCTGATTCCGCACTGCCTCCTTATGTCACTCAGGAGCGCTTCTACCAAACCAAGGGCTGCTTTGTATACCGAACCATCAAGGATCTCGAAGACACCATTGAGTATGCATGCCAGGCTCCGACCGTTCTAGGCCGCCGCATCCGAAAGGCAGCTGTCATAGGAGGTGGCCTGCTAGGCTTAGAGGCGGCTAAAGCCCTCTTAGATCTCGAAGAGGTCGACCAAGTAGTCTTGGTTGAACGAAATCGCTGGGTTCTGAGCCGTCAATTGGACCAAGAAGGTGGTACCCTAGTCTTGGAAAAAGTCAGGGCACTCGGAGTCCAGGTCCTTCTTCAAACCAGGGTTCACAATCTGGTTTGTGAGACCGGCCGCCTCACTGGTCTTTCTCTCGAAGGAAAGAATGGAGAGGCAGGCGACATAGTCGATATTGACATGCTGGTATTCGCCGTTGGAATCACCCCCAGGGATGAGCTCGCCAAAGCCGCCGGTCTCCATACGGCGAAGCGTGGAGGTTTCGTTGTTGATCCTATGCTAAAGACGAACCTCCCCAATATTTATGCTGTTGGAGAATGCGCCAGTCTGTTTGATCAAACCTATGGACTCATTGCTCCAGGCGTGGAGATGGCCGATGTACTTGCATATAACCTGACGGAAGGGCCTCACCATCACCTCAGGGAAATGAAGGCCCCTGATGTCAGCACGAAGCTCAAGCTCATGGGAGTCGATGTTGCTTCCTTTGGAGACTTTTTCGCCGATCGGGGAATAATCACAAAGCCACTTCCTGGATTAAGGCCAAGAAGGGGGGTCGTGCAAGAGGTCCACGACCTGTCGCCCGAGGAGGTCAAAAGCAAGGTCAAGGCACTTACATATCGCGACCCCTTTTCCGATGTGTACAAAAAATACATCTTCACTGCCGACGGAAAATACATTCTCGGCGGCATGATGGTGGGGGATGTCAAAGACTATGTCAAATTAGTGGCACTATGCAACAAGCGGGAGCCTATTGGCAAATCGCCCGCGGAATTCATCATTGGGGCGAAGAAGGAGGGCGAGGAGGAGGGCGACGACTTACCAGACGACGCACAAGTTTGCAGCTGCCACAACGTCACAAAGGGCCACATCGTGGAATGTGCCAAGACCAAGGGCATCCGTTCTTTTGGCGAGGTCAAATCCTCCACAAAGTGCGGAACTGGCTGCGGTGGTTGTATACCTCTTTCGCTCAGCATCTTCAATCGAGCTCTCAAGGACGCAGGCGTCGAGGTCTCCAACCATCTTTGCCACCACTTTGCCTATTCCCGCCAGGAGCTCTTCCAGATTATCAAATTTAAGAAGCTCAAAGACTTCTCGGCTGTCATGAGATCCACTGGCAAGAAACCCGACAGTCTTGGGTGCGAGGCGTGCAGGCCTGCCGTGGGCTCTATCCTGAGCTCTTTGTACAACGAGTGGATTATGAAGCCTTCGCTGCGGCAGACCCAGGATACCAACGATCGGTATCTGGCCAACATGCAACGTGACGGCACGTACTCAGTAGTCCCGCGGCTTCCTGCTGGCGAAGTGACCCCAGCTGGGCTCATTGTTATTGGAGAAATCGCTGCCGACTACGGATTGTATACGAAGATCACAGGTGGTCAGCGTATCGATCTATTTGGCGCTAAGAAGCAGGATCTTCCCGCTATCTGGGAAAGGTTAGTCAAGGCAGGGTTTGAAAGTGGCCACGCTTATGGCAAGTCGCTCCGAACAGTGAAGAGTTGTGTCGGTAGCACGTGGTGCCGTTATGGACTTGGCGACTCCGTTGGTTTCGCTTCCGAGATTGAACACCGCTACAAGGGAATCCGTGCTCCTCACAAATTCAAGGGTGGCGTTTCAGGTTGTGTCCGAGAGTGTGCTGAGGCACAGAGCAAGGACTTCGGCCTCATCGCCACACCCAAAGGTTGGAACGTCTTTGTGGGTGGAAACGGTGGTGCCAAACCCCGCCACGCCCAACTTATTGCGGAAGATGTGACAAAGCTTCAAGCCGTCAAGATTTTAGATCGATTTATCATGCTATACATCCGCTCCGCCGACAAGCTTGAGAGAACTGCTCGCTGGGTTGAGAGATATCCAGGTGGCCTTCCAGCTCTCAAAGACGTCATTGTGAATGACAAACTTGGCATTTGTGAAGAATTAAGTAAGGAGATGGATGATTTAGTTGGTACCTATCATTGCGAGTGGACCAATGTAGTCCGTGATTCTGGACGCCGAAACGCGTTCCGACAGTTTGTGAATACGGATGAAGTACAGAAGGTGTCCGAGTCCATCTCAGAACGCAGCCAGAAAAGGCCAGCCGACTGGCCTGAGGATAGCACTCCCCTACGCTTTGACGTTCTTGATGTTGCCAAAGACGCCAAATGGGAATGGCGCGAGGTCTGTAAGCTGTCGGCTCTCGACCGGCAAACAGATGCCCCTACTTCGGCTACGGTCAAATATGGCGATGTGCAACTAGCCGTCTGGAACATACCGGGCCGTGGTCTACGTGCCTCACAGAATATGTGTCCTCATCGCCGAGCGTTCGTCCTAGCCGATGGTTTAATCGGGCAGGATGAGCAGGACCGTGAGTATGTATCATGCCCTCTTCACAAACGCAACTATTATCTGGACCCCAAGCCTAGCAACGGCGGAGGCAAATGTTCTGATTCAGACTATTCAATCATGACGTTCGAGGCCAAGGAGGATGAAGAAAATGACGCCGTTTTGCTCCGTCTTCCTCCGACTGATGCTTTGGATGCTGTACTTAGTACATCCAAGTGGATGCTGAGAAGGGCTGAGGAAGAGGCCAGCCATCTCGCCGGCGTTCCGGATCACTCCATTGAAATCTCTGGTCCTCTTCCACCAAGTCAAATGGAGGAACGTTTGAGGCTCCTGGAAGGGATCACGAGCCAAGAAGCGCCCACAGCTCAAATTTCCTGTGGAAGTTCTGCTTTAGATTGGTGATTTTCATTAAGTAGTCATAATCATGTAATTTGCTACAGATAGCAACATAAAATCAAACTTCTGGTGCATAATCTTCTCACAGTGGCATGTTCTAACGTTGGTCATCACTGGCGTATCGTATCCGTCTGAGATTAATTCATTAGCCTTCTGATCGCCTTCAGGCCCGCCTTTCCAGCCTCCACGTAAATTTAGATTGTGTAAGTCGGACGTCGGTCGTCTCCACGTGCTTCTTAGTTTCGGGTTGATGGCCGCTTAGACCGATACTAGGCCCAATACTGAGGCTGAGCCCACTGGCTCTTGACTGTCTTATCTCGACCTATCACAGCTCAGATATTTATCTACCGTGCTGACGTTCTAGATCCCCACAGACGAGAAACTTCCCACATGCAAGCAACATCAACGCCCGTGCTTGGAGCAAATCACCTTATGGGGGGCTGTTCAGTCTCCGCGGAAATGCCAGATTTCGATATCACATTGGAGAGAAAGCCTTTCATTCGCAGATAAGGCTGCAGTCCCCACGGCGGCCTGATACGATCAGCGTCATCCCCGAAGCCAGCATCGTGCGATAACAAGGGAAAAAACCCACTGCCCCCGGTACTTGCAGATGAAAATTAAGGTACCGAGAGCGTATGCAAAGCTCCCCACGATCCTCTCCGCGGAGAAACAAGTTTCTGGAGTTTGTTATCTATGTCTGCCATTGGACTGAGATAAACAGCCGTCCGGGGGCCTCCTTAGCCTCAGTTACATTCCGAATCCACCCTAATTAGGAGTTAATCGGCCGGATGCCATCATTATCGCTGCTTGGAAATTTGAAACTCGTTATCAGCCAATAGAATTGGTTCTATCTTTATGCACGCGCCTTGGGCATCGGATTTTGTCCACATCCCACACTCAACGATACACAAAATGATATGTCGAAGAAGTTATTCAGTGTTTTCGTACAGGGATAGCCGCAATGAGACATCTCTGAGATAAGAAACCTCGTCGGAAATCTTGAATCTAGTATAAGTTCATTGTCCAACCCTGAGTAGAGCTTGAATCATTTCCAGATCATCTCAACAGTCATCAAATCATCAGCCATCCACACTGGCAAATTCCTATTCAACGCCTGGATCCCATACAACAATTCTCAAGAATAGTCTGGATTAAAATATTCTCTCGCCAATTTGCGTCCTCCCTTCTTTGAATTCGGAAAAGAACAACATTTTGGGACCCATCTTACAAGCTACCGCCTCACAGAAGTCCGATATCTCATACGTACCAGCATAATGTCTCCCACACCAGATGCTGGGAGCCATGAGAAGGCCAAAAAATCTGACAAAACCACATCAACCAGCAAATCAGGCTGGTCCTCTCTTTGGAAACGTGCTGAGGTCAACCCCCTGAACGGCAAAAGTTTGACTTTCCCCCTATTTCGGTTCTGGGACCCATATTCCACCGCCTTCTGGCTAGCCACCCTAGGCTTCTTCGTTGCATTTCTCTCGTGGTTCGCCTTTTCGCCCCTGGTTCCTGAGGCAGTGAAGGATGATCTCGGTCTTACACAAGACCAGGTGGTCAACTCTAATTTGGCATCTCTTGGCGGCACGGCAATCGTTCGCCTCATCGCAGGGCCTTGCTGTGATAGGTTCGGCCCCAGAAAGGTCCTTGCTACACTACTCATTCTCGGTGCCATCCCTTCAGGCTTGGCTGCTCTTGTTGTCAACATCGAGGGCTTGGAGGCAGTAAGATTCTTCATCTCGATCCTTGGAGGTACTTTCGTACCCACGCAAGCCTATACAACAACTTTCTTTGACAAGTCCATCGTCGGTACTGCAAATGCGTTCTCTGGCGGTTGGGGTAACCTCGGAGGAGGTGTCACTGTTGCCGTCATGATCGGACTCTACGAGCGATACATCAAGGCCGGGTACAGCGCCCACCTTTCATGGCGACTCTGCTTCCCTACTCTTCCCGTTCCCTGTCTTATTCTTGTCGCTGTCATGATCCTTGTTCTTGGCAAGGACCATCCTTGGGGGAAATGGTCCCAAAGAAACCAAGTTAGTGGTCCGGAACCAATGTTCATCGAAGGGGTGCAAGAGGAGTCCAAAGGACAGGTTCTGAGGAAGAAGGATATGGAATCTGGGATGTCGTCGGATAGCCCCAACACAGACGAGTCCCAGGCCTCAGCTAGCACTAGTATCTATGAGGTCGATACTGCGCAGCCAGAGCCACTCACTCTTTCTTCTCTGTTCAAAATCCTCTGCGACTTGCGCGTTTGGATGTGCTTCAGCTGTTATCTCCTCACCTTTGGCCTCGAGACGGCCATGGATGCTGCCTTGCCGGGCCTCATGAACCAGTTGTTCAAGAGCGACACATTCACAATTGCCGACGCTGCCTACGCAGCATCCACATATGGTCTTCTGAACTTGTTCGCTCGTCCATTGGGTGGTATCATTTCCGACATGCTCTATGCTCGCTATGGCCTTAGGTCCAAGGTGCTCTGGCTTCTCGGAACTTCATTGTCCCAGGGCGTTGCGATGGTCGGGCTCGGTGTATATATCAACAACAACCACGCCACCTTGGGTGGGGTGATGGGTTTTATCGTCCTCATTGCCGTCACCGGATTTGCCGCCAATGGCGCTTGCTATTCCGTCTATGGCCATCTACGACCAAAGAACGTCGGAGCTGTGGCAGGCATTGTAGGCGCAGGAGGTAACGTAGGCGGTCTATTCTACACTCTGATTTTCAAATACCAGGCAGGAACTCGCGTTGCTGCCACAATCGCAAATCCCGTGGGCCAAAACTCATTGGGAAACAAGTTCTGGATTGCCGGAGTTGTCAACTTGGTTGGTGTATTACCATTCTTTTTTGTGCCTCTCGGGGATGCAGTTTAGGGACAAGATTGGCGAATTTAAATTATATTGGCGTAATGACGAATTTTAATGGAATTAGCAGTTTTGAGAAAGATGATATCCAATGAAGGCTCTTCTACTTTCATAATAATACAAGAAGTTTACGGAAGTTGTGTTGACCAATGTAGATCATGATTCAAAAAGCATCTAAGTCCATGCCTAAGGTGCCATTCCAGTGTCCGCTACTCAAAACGTCCGAATAATCCCCAAATATCTGGACACTCTGATTCACCTGTCTATAGCCACTTCATAGATCGGTTTACTAGAAACACTCCTGAGTATCGAACCCAGTCTCGATCAACAGGGTCAAGAAGCGTTTTAGGCTAACCACAATGAAACCGCATCAACTAATCCGATCGCCAACCACTCCTCATCAAGGGCAAATGTCCCATCAAATCCATGTTCTCAATCTCGGACCGCGAGATGAAATTTCAACTCTGGGTCTAGCCGAAGAAAGTCGTTCTTTAGCTTCCTTCAATGGGCACAATCGTGTCATCTCTCCCGTGCATCACAAAAACACCACCTCTCGGGAATCTTGATCCATCCTCCAGTCTTTCTAATATGGCGTTGTGCCTTTGATTAGCAGGGAATGAGTCGCGGTAAGCCCCGCGCTAGATGAACGCAAACATCAATTCAGCCCTCTCGCCTTTTAAGTCGCTAGACACAATAGATGGTAGCCTTCCGTCTTTAACTTTGGCCATGTGCTCCTTGATCATATTCAAGGGCATCTGAGGCATGCCCAAGACGGCTTTTCCATAATTCTGTGTAAAATATAGGGATCTAACATCAAGCTGCCATGACAGAGCGGACGCTTTCAGCATGATTCAAGCCAGTTATGAGGCTTAGAAAACCGCCTACGCTCTCGCCTGACGTGATTATACGAGAAAGTTCCACCTCTACCTCGCCTTTCGTTCATTTTCGTACGAATCCCGGAAGCTCAATCTAAATCCAATTCCAAAAGTCTTCACTGTCTTGCATAAGCTCATCCAAGGATGATTGGCAGCAATTTATAGTCGGGCGCTACAACCAAAGCCGAATGCCGATCGGCAAGCTCTAGATGCCAGAGGCTGAAATAATTGAGAAACAGACGAGAAGCGGTGATCCAACCTCCAGCATGGAAACGGGTCATAAGTGGCCGAGGTCCAACAAGCTTCATCTTGGCCAATAAAGTCTTTGGCACCTACACACTGCATCCTATTGAATGGCCGGAGACAACATTGTATGTGCAATCGAATATCTCAAACGAATCATATTGAGAGTAGTCGTCTGGATTTGGACCCATGTGGGTGTTTGAGAGTCAAGAAGATTATTGCTTTGGTTGTGATGTATTTAGGGATAATACCTTGAATTCGGTTAGATCCGCTTATGATGGATACATACTCCCGTTTTCAACACATTTCTATCTCCGAACCTCTGATCATAGATTGGAGAGGAATTATAACAATGTACTCTCCGAACATCCCTCACTTGAATCTACTACATGTCAGCATCGATCTCTATTCCGGGAGAACTTGAAGCGGATTTGGGAAACAAGTCGGTGGAATCATACCAATAGATCAGTTATCGGCTCAGACCAGACAACTGTTGTCGGGGTCATCAAGTAACAGCATTACAAGAGAGCCCGATTCCATTAGTAAGTTTACGGTTGCTTATCAATCTAATAAACATAGTTATATAACACCAAGGAGACCATCGGGGTAGATTTACTACTCGATAGCGATGTATTGGCAAAGATGTTGTCTTCTAACAATCATTCAGTCACGCCGATCGTCGACGCAGGCACTGTTGTCTCATCGCAGCTGGACGGAATTTGCACTGCCTCAATCATCTGATCTGCAAGAGCCCTGAAACGCCGAGATCTGACGGGATCGCATGCTTGTTGGCCAAAGTTTTCTTACTTGTCTCAATCAAACAGGCTGCGGGATCTTATGAAACCTGCTACCAAGAGCGAGAATATTTGTTTGAAACACCGTGACCTTGAAAACAGTTCACTATCCTCCCGACATCGCGAAACACAAGTCATCCAAGTCAATGTTGGAACCTCTCTTCAAAGAGTGGATTGTCGCCAAGCTTAATACATGTAATAAAGATAGTCGATTGCATGTCGTGAACCGTGATCCTCGCCTAACAGCGCGGTCTAGGGAGCCTCTCTCCAATATAAAGGATCATAAACAATTCTGACACCCGGCCTCCCTCCGCGAATTCTAACGATTGACGGCACGTGCTAGAATTGCGGACCATCGCGTGTTACCAAGCTCTAGGCCTGCCATGCTTGATGCTGCGCCACGTCCTTCCGCATTCAGGTGAGACGACGGTTAATTCCAAAAGAGCCACTTGATGTTGCTTCGGAACCGGACACCACCGCATGAGGGATTGCCCGGGTGCCATCTCAATGGCGCTATGGGAATGCTCAGTCTGGTGGCCAAGCTTCCAAAGTACCCTCGCTTCCCTCTCCGCGAGAGTGTGCCAAAGTGGCCAGGGTTATAGAGTATGAGCTCGACAGCACATGCAGTTCATCAGAATTATTCTGTCTGCAATCATAAGAACTTTCCTTGTATTTTGCATATACTTCCTGCTCATATAGTCCGCTCTTTCGACCTATAAGTAGATAGCAGGAAATAGGTTGGTAGTAGTCTACTGTCGGTCGTCTTTACGTTGGGGGCCTCACTGGCTGCAATCTCAACGTAGGTCCGCCACGCAGCAATATGCTAGCACTGCCTCTCTAATTGTGCTTTGAAATAACCCTACCAACCAACCTTAGTGGCCAACTAAATGTTAGGTTCTATATGCTATTTACGTGCTGTGAACTATATACTTGGGTAGTAAAAACGAGGAGGGAAGTGGCTGTTCGAGATCTGTTATTATGTAGGTTTGGAACTACCATGCTACGTTCTGTAGCACTTTTGTAAGGCATCGCTCCACAATCTAGATCTAGAAACGAGGAAGCATGTTGCTAATTACACTCAAGCTTACAGGACAGTGCAAAGCATGTCTTTGTCCCATTGTCGTAACTACCTGACGCCTAGCAAGCAACCATCATCCATGTCTGTCAGAGCCTTCTTTCAGTGATACTTCTCGTGCATAATTCGGTACCGCAAGCATATTGACCACGGTCCCAACTGTTCATATGATTCGGGCCCTCAGTATAAGCCAGACGTGATAAAGGTCGGATCTTCTTCAATTTCAACCATTTGCTCACAACACCTACAAATTTATTAGGGCGTTATGATATCGCCGCACTAGAAGCTCACACAACGAACTCACTTGCAGTCTGGCATGAAACCTAGTTTACGGGTTCGATTTCACTTAAAATTTCCAAGGCCATGGCAGCTCTAAGGTGCACTGTTAAAGCTTTGAACTGTTAACATACCAGAACAGAGGGCAAATAAGTTCGATCAATCATGCCAAATTTGATATCGGGCTAAATTGGGATATAAGATTCCACACTTCAGACCTGATGCTAGCTCCTCCAAGCGAAACCTCAAGGAGGACTACGGAACTTTACGGAGGGGTGAGCTTTTTGTACAACTCGCTCCGCACTGCACAACTATCTCCACTGCACGCCTATCTCCGAGCCGTATGACCCAGCGCCGAATACTAGCATAATCCGTGACTTTCTGGGACGCAGACCGCTTGCAAAATGCGTACTATTTCTCACTGACCCATCCCTATTCGCCTGTCGATCTAGTGGGCGAGATTCTACTGTGGCAAAAAGCGGACGTGAAGTCTACCAATATTCTCCGAGGTCAGTCTAGGTACGTCTCAAAGTTGCTCTCGAGGTCTGATTTTCTAGCGTCTGGTTCGCATGAAAAGACCGTGGGAATTTGGGATACAACATCTGCCCAATGCATTAAGGTCTTGCAAAGTCATGCTAGTTACATATTTATCCTAATATTTAGTGTCGATAGAACTACTAAACTTGACGCGCGCAGTGATGGGGATGGTACGTTTGCATATGGGACTGGAGAAAAGGGTAGGTAGTGCTCTTACAGGGCCATAGGTCAACATACAAGCAAGCGCTCTACAGGAGAACTACGGCAGATGGCTAAACTAAGGCTAGACACAACCTCCCATGTCAAAATAGGGATTATGGGAACTTCCCAACCGGTAGAAGGGGTGGATCAGTGAGACTTTAGACAAAGCACGGTACTCTTCTTGGAAATTTTAGAACACATCCGGACCAATGAAAGGTCTTTTACTGAACTGTTGATTCCTAGTCACAGTCTAAACTCAGGATGGCAAATTCAAGGTGTGGGATTGGCAGAGTGAAAATGGATATTTGAAAATCAAGTGCGGGACAGTTTGAATTTCATTATGGCTGCAGATAGCGTGTTGGAAAAAAGTAGGAGTGAATCTCATCGTATGGTCTTCTGAAGTCTCTTGAGCTAGGTTATACCGGAACCTAAAGTGCCGGAGTTCGTCTGCCACGTGCAGCTGCGATGGATATCATAATTTTAAGTAATTCGATGCAAGCGACGTACTGAGGAGCCCCAGGCGGCAAAGGCTCGGCCTTGGTAAATGCGATGTCACTCAGGAGCTGTTCTACTACCACAACGTCCAAACCAAAGTACCAACAGTGGTCCTAGACGAGAAAGATTGCCGCGATCCCTGTCGGTCTTTATGAGAGCACAGGTCAACATGGCGGAGATTAACTTGATAAGAAAGTCAATACTTGCGTTTAATTATGTGCACTAACGCTTCTTGCTGCTCGTTACTATTATTTCATTCTCATCACGGTATGTGGGAGACGGTTGTGGGCCGATGGAGGCTGAGCACGCAAATAACCGAGTTGAAGTCTTCCTTCGCGTGATTCAACCAGATTTGGCCGCAGACCTATCACAGCACGGTTGGCGGAAAGCCAAGGAATTGACACCCTGGACAACAGTTTTTCAAAAGGACTTCTAGGCCACTCTAATTTCCTTCACTCGGTAGGGACAGGTGGAGCTTATTCTGACGCCAAGATCCAATTATCCTAGGGTTATGAGTTTATATTTACATGTATTAATTAATCTGTAATCACGACCGTTTTGAGACGTGGAGATCAGATGTTTAGTCCTTGTATGGGTTGCTGCCTTCTCAAATGGATAGTGTACCCGGATGCCAGTTGGTCTCGGTTGAAGGCACTCCATGTTGGGCCACCCTTACCCTTGAAGGGGACTTGGATCTTAAAGCATGATGCACTGCCACTTGAGGGAATAAATATGCTTTTGAAGTGGGGAGGACCGGAATTCCTATGATAACATAAAGAAAAAACAAGGGAAAGCAGCAGGAGGTCGGGGTGGGGGATGGCAAGGTGCATTGGTTGGATCTTTCGTCCTCGAACCGACTTCAGCTCCTACCGTGACCCAATCACACACCATGCATTCTCCGCCGCCCGAAAAGTTCCTCCGACTTTCAATCATACGTTGGGGAGTTGTCGTCGCATTTGGATGCTTGGCTCGGGTGCGTGCAGCAAACAAAAATAGTTTGTTTGCTGCACAGCCCCCCTAGAAGGCTTCAATATGAATTTCATCTTTTAAAGTTGCTCTGAAATCTGTATTCGGTAGATTCTGCCGCTTAAACTGCCATGTCGACTTTGAAATCCCATGAATCCATCCTTATGTTTAAGCTTTGGAATCGGAGCCAAGGGCTCAAACTGCCCCTGATTTCGATCAGTCAAGTCGCCAAACCGATGGCCTACCTTCGTTCCCCCCCGCTATTCGTTTTGAAATGTGTTGGCGTCTTCTTTATCCTTCTCTTTCTTGCTGCTAATGTTGCTCTCTGGCACGATACTCAGTATTGGAATGTGCCGTCCGTACATCATCCCGCCGGGGCACCGACG